AAAAGTTTGAGATTTATTCATTGACGCATTCATTTTGTGGGTTTAAAATGACGTAAATGTAATTTCAAGGGGCCACAGGTGATGAACTGCACCTCTGCTACAGCTTTGGATGGAAATGCAGCAGCTAATTTTGATCCTGACCCCCTGACCTATATTTAAACCGCGGGACAGCGAACAGCGGAATTTTGAAGTTTCACTTTTTTGGGTGTTTGATATCTTCCATCGCTAAGGTGGACATGATGTGTGTGAACTCATTGGGAAAGTCCCTAATTACACGTTTTTATGACAAGCAATGGCAAACAGGCCTGGAAAATAGATCCACCCATTTTTGACTCCTACATTTAATAGGTCAGCGTGCATCACTCTTACCCACCTAAACCACACTGGGATGCTTAGCATTACAGTGAATTAGAGCTACTTGTTAAGGCACGTTCCTTCACATGCTAATTCAGATCGTTTAATGTCATTGCGGTCATGCACAAAAAAAATTTTTCCCTCAGAGGTCAAATTTATACCATTACTCTCTCTCACCCCTGACAGCAGTAGGCGTCTGTCCAGAGTAACATTAAGTCTCCAACTATATTTGCATTTCCTGAAACAGCATCACCTGCGATGCAGCAAAAGGACAGTGTAAATGTAAGTTTAGGTTTTGAGCCATCAGTTCGTGTCTTGTTTTCTGTGCTATGCAAATCAGTTTAAGTACGGAGACAATTTAGTAAACATTTAGAAAATATTACAAGGATGTCATCACTGTTGGTTATATTTTGAAGAAAATTCTATTAATGTCAATGGGAGATTTTCAAACTCGATTTCTTATAAGGTTTAAATAAATAAACAAACACAAATAAATAAATGGTCAAAGTGAGAACTTTATATTTCTTTATAAAGTTAACAAAAACTGAATTATTTTCAATTTCTTATATAATTTACACAAATAAAGTGAATGAATGAGTAAAATGAATGAATGAAAGAATGATCAATGGGAGAGTCTTATATTTTTATTAAAGTTTACAACAATAAATAGTCATTATAAATGGTTATATTTCTTATATCCTTTGCACAAATAAAATGAATGAATGGTCAACAGGAGATTTCTTATAAATAAATAAATACATAAATAAATAAATGGTTATAAGGTTTACACAAATGAATGAAGTGGGAGATTCTTATATTTTTAGTAAAATTTACAAATGTCATAAATTGTTACATTTCTTATAACCTTTACAATAAAATGAATAAATAAATGAATAAATGGTCAATAGGAGATTTCTATATTTTTTATAAAGTTTACACAAACAAATAAATAAATGATTATATTTCTTATAAAGTTTAAACAAATAAAATGAATGAATGAATGCTCAGTGGGAGGTTCTAATAATTATAAAGTTTACATAGATGATAGGCTAGATAGGTAAGGCTTAAGGTAAGGCTTAAATTATCTCCAAAGTTTGCATCAAGTTAGGCCTGGTCCCATATGATGCATACAATCTATACGATTGTCCTAAGATATGACTGTCTATCTGTAAGTCTAGGAATATCATATATAATCATAAAAACAAGGCATTATTCATATCCGCAGTACAAACGGTGCAGCACATGCATAAAAATGCAATTTTTAAGGTAAGTATTGAAATCCCTAACCCTGAGTATGAGCAATAGTAGTAGTGATACTTGACATGGCAAACACCACTAACATGACTGCTTTCCTTCCTGAAAGGTGTGATGGGATGATTAAGCTGCACTTTGCAGCATTAAGGAACTGTTTCAGATTAGATAGTGTGTGGGCACATCTATAAGGTTGCATAGGTCTCAATCACCCCAAAAACCAAATGCACAACACACTGAGCACTAAACCACAGGGCAAGTCGGTTCAATTATCTGATGGTTTAAAAGTTGACACGAAATGATGATTGCTCAAGACTAACGCCCACCTTCCTCAATAGGAAATGGGATGAGGGGTATGTGGGATAACAGGACAGCCCGCCAGCGCAGCAAATATGACAGGAACGGAAAATAAATAAATAATTGGCCCGCATGTTAGAGTTTATGTGGTTGAGCCCCCTTAAACCATAAACTGATACTATCTGAGCTCCAACCAGCTGCATATAAACGCCATCTAGCTGCTCGATTTCACCTCAGCGCTTAACAATAAGAGCGTAGCCTACATGATCTGTCGCATTCTTTAATAAAAAGGGGGGAAAAAGTAAAAGAAAGGAAAAAACGATTCTTATAATTTACTCACCCTCACGTTGTTCTATATGCTGATATTTCTCTCTGGAAAACACATGGAGGAATTTTGAAAAACGCAGATCCACAGTAGCCTATGTCAAGCTCCAAAAATGTCAAAAAGCACCATAAAAAGAATCCATATCTGTGAGCCATACATTCCAATAGATTGAGTTAACACTCCCAAGCTTAATTGAAAATAGTTCCACTTGTGTCCATCTTTGACGCATCCGGGCAGCATTTTTTCTAGTCATTCGACAACATGAAGGGCATGAAGGGAATCTTCAAATCTGTATGCTTACATGCAATCAAATAACCCATTAGTAATCGGATTGACTCAACTGGACTGAACTCCTTCATGCAAACACAATCGATCCGAATGAAATTTCGATCGGTTTGTAAAGGATAGTATAGGCCTGAAATAAAAAATAAAGTAACGCTTGAATCCGACTAGTTTCTCAATCGGGTTCAACCTTGCGCAGGTCTGTTTACATACATTTCATATTTACATCTAACAAATTGGTTGGTGAAAGAGACAGAATATTTTACCTAGCTAAAAGCTCTTCTGTCATATATTCTTTTCATCATGAAAAACAACTTTCAGAATCCGAAATCGGATTGGATTCATTCAAAACTACTGGATAGCCTATTAACCTAAGCTGTAACCATATCTTGAACAATATGAAACCAAAATTTCCTTTGAAAACGGCGAAATTTCAGGGGAAAGATCAAGTAGTTTGCATTACTGCCGGTAGTTTAACATTTCTACCGCAAAATAGTTATATTTCAAATATTAGGCCTCCACACTTCCGTTAGTCGATCTCTTTTAACATTAAATGCTTCAGTTCGCGCTGGAATTGGCGCGCTCTCCTTCCACAGATACCCAGCTTACTTTGATTTGATTGGCTAACTCAATCATTTTGACTCTGACCAGCGTTGTTAGACCGCTAGACCGAACATTTTTGTCATCCTAAACCACAAACAGAAAATTTCAAATATTTGAGGGGCCAATTTGGCCATTTCCAATTATTGAGGGAACTTCCAGTAACAACAAAAATATATACATTCTTAAGATGTCCAGGTATAAACAGGCAATCTTAAAGTAGCCTACTCAATTATATTTTAATTGGTATTTAATTATATTATAGTAGATGTTTGTGAAAGGTTTGTGTTCTTGTGGCTTCAGCAACCATTCGGACTTCATTTAAACTGGATACAGAGTGCATAGTTACATGGCAACTCGGGTAAAATGAAATAGAAATAAAACAAAACAAAACAGAAACAAACTAAAATAAATAAAATTAAAATAACATTTGTGAGTTCCCATAAGCATAGATAACTGGTTTCGAATCTGACCACATTGTTCCATCTCTGCCAACTGTGCAACTGCCATTAGGATGAACAGGAATGCTAACAGGGCTCTCTACACAAGTATTATTTCTTTGGTTTCTCCCATTCTTTTCTCTTTTTTTTTAAACAAATACTCAGTTTCCTCTTCCTTATACTGAACCTCCCTGCCCAATGTGCACTGTACCCTTGACCTTTGACTCCAGACCCAACTGGAATTATTTTACATTCGGTTTCACTATTTTATCTCAATATTAATAATATATGACTGTGCCAGATATGAATACATTCCTATGGAAATAAATGACACACAACATGAAATGACACATAAACTGACCACAATCCAAGTTCAAGTATTGACAGCACAGACATCCTACATGTTTACAGCACAACTGCCATGCATTTTTAACAGTCTCTGCAGCAAGACTACACGCAAACATGCACATCGGACCTGCACATTTGCTCCAAAGACAGACAAAAAAGCGATACCTTCAGTTTAACTTCATATACAGAGCATTAATCCAAAACATCTGCATACTGTACAAAGTACAAACCTTCTCCCATCTTCAAAACGCTGTCTTGTCATTAAGATGCGAAGCATAACCCAATTAATTGAAAAAATGGTCCTCGAATGAGACCCACTAACATAAACACATATTAAAAGCGATTGGATGCAGTTACACCTTTGACAGGAAGCCCCTGAGGTTTCCTGTGTTGTAGTGTGAACAGGGCACTTGAATATCTGATGTTTACCTCCAAACGCCCAGCAACAAACACACCGTGCAGTGGCCTGTTTCTCACTTGGGTTTCATAAAGTGACCCATAAGGCACTAAAAAGCAGCACACTGCTCACATGAATTACTCTTTAATAATTCAGTGTAATTTGGGATTCTTCAGAAGGATCTGGAGAGCAGTGTTACTGTTGTATCATTGATGTATTAGGCTATACTAGTTTTAGTTAATATTTTAAATTTAATTTTACTTTTATATCTTTTTTAAAATGTATAATTAAATTTAAATTATTATTATTTATATCATTTTAGTTTTAGTAATTTTGCTGAATTTTTTGTTCGATTTTTTTGTCTTTTTTTTAGCTACACAGACTGAAACAGAACTGAGACTGATTTAACCAGTTAGTTGTACTAGTTAGTTCTTCTGCTGTTTATGAATAACAGTATCTATTCTGTTTCCTCATTATGTCATCATTACTGGACGGACAGGATTCATAACAACAAACACGAGTGTATATGTCAAAGTTACTGACATCAAAAATCCAAGGTTTTCAAATCAAACTGGTTTCATTTTGATCTGATGAGGAAATTTTGAACACTTAAAGTCAACAGAATACAATGAAATCTTTTATTAATCAAGAAAAATCACAGAAAAGTTGATTCCTTCATAATATGACTCCTTTAAATATGGCATGTCAGAGAATTCAGACAGTAAAGAAAACGGATGACCAAAAGAAACTTTTATTTTCATTTGCCTTGGAAGCAAAACAGAACGCCCCCTTAATTTTTAATTTTACACTATGGTCTGTCTTGAACTGGTTTTATTTTATATCTTTGCACTTGTGTAAAGAAACTTCAAATCCGGTAGTTTTCCCCAGTCCACAAACATATGTACATCTGTTGTCTGTAAGTGCCTCACTTTTTGCCATCGAGAAACAACAAAACTGAACAAAACAAACATGCAAACCAAAAAGTACTTTAGCATGCAATTTCAACATATAAAAAACTAAACATGCCATCGCAGTGGCTCATGGCATCTGTAGATGGTTCTCACATGGAGAAATGGTCACTGATCGGCGGTTTCTCCACCCATTGGCCATAGCCCTTCCTCTCCAGGTAAGACTTCAGCACACTCTTTGCTTCCTGGTACGGCTTTGCCATCATCTTGATGTTCAATAAAAAATGAGATGGTCAATATTAAACATCCAATACAAATCTGAATTGAAAAACTAGCAGCAGCTGCAGCAGAAATTAAGATTTCTTCTAATACAAATGACTAGATTTGGACATTTTCTTCAGTAATTGTGAACCATTGTTTCCATGGTGTTCTAGGTTCTGATATTGTTATAAAGAGATTTTGAGTTGGCTAGCGTGATGTCAGCTCTTTCACAACGTAGGAATGCATGACTGATCAAAATACAACTGAAACTGTGTTATGGCTTAGTGTGATTATCAAATCGCAAAGATTGCAATTTAATTAAATAAATACACGTGTTTCGTGTTTCTGAGTGAAATGTGGCACAGTGTTCATTTACACACAAGCAGTATTACGCCAAAATAAAATTTTGATGGTTTAACGTTTGGGACAATGGGATTGACAGCCATAAATATTAGTGCTGTAATTTTAGTTATGCTGTAAAATAAAATTATTATTGTATTATTTTTCTTAAATACTCAATTTTTATTTATTTCGTTTATTATTTTTATAAAATAATAGTAGCAATCATATCTTACCACATTTTCCAAAATGTTCCTATGAACGATTTATAAATGACCATATGCACAAAAATTTTCTTCTCTCTTTGCTTTTGATAATTTTCAGGAAATCACCATTATAATGTAATTTTTAATTGTTACATAATTAATAAAAAGTTGTTAAAATGTTGCACATTTTTGCATATAATTATTAATGCACATTGTGGCTGCCTATTTATCTTTACATTTTCATAAACAATGTTGAGTTAATTGAAAAACTGGTATATATGCACCAAAAAAAGCATGCTTATCACTTGGCATACGCATAAGAATATTTTCACTTCAATTTCTGCTTTTATCAATCCCGATCTGTTTCTCACTTTTGACGTAGGATAAAATCCATGGTATTAAGGATCAAATCTAATTGTACATGCTTTTTATAAATTAGGTCCCTGAAGCTTTAAAGAATAAAAATAAAATGATTGACATATCTTAAATTGCAATTTTTTTGTGAGAAAAAAATCGCAATTACATTTTTGCCCCAAATCATGCAGCCCTTCCTGAATGTAAATAAGGCAGAATGCCTTACCTTGGCCTCCCTGTAGGTCACAGCGGTGAGCAGCTCCTCTCTCTGGGCCTCTTTAGCTACCAAATTAAATCGACTCAACATCGCTGCCTTGCAAAGTCGGCTAGCCAAGGCTGGACTGCTCTTAAATGGAGAACTGAAACAAACACACAAAAATTAGGCTGAAGACATGCCAAGCTTATTCGTGCGACATGACTATCCAACTTAGTTTTAATGTAAGATCGTTGTGGCTATTTGTAACTTGAATGGGCAAGGCTTCCAGTGTCATTCACTTTCAGTTAATTTTACCTATAAAAAACAGCTTGTTATTCTGCTTGATATTGTAACTGGTATTTGTTATCATAATATTTTAAAGAATTAGTTCACCTAAAAATAACATATTCTGAAACTGTACTCACCTTCAGGCCATCCAAGTTATAGTTTGTTTCTTCACCGAAACAGATTTGGAAAAATTTGAGCATGACATCACTTGCTCACCAATGGATCCTCTGCAGTGAATGGGTGCCGTCAGAATGAGAGTCCAAACAGCTGATAAAAACGTCACAATCCATAAATTATACACACACCTAGACACGACAATCTATCAATTAATGTTTTGTGAAGAGAAAAGCAGCATGTTTGTAAGAAACAAATCCATCAAGACATTTTTTACTTCAAAGCACTGCTTCCAGCTAAAATACGAGTTCTCTATCAAAAATATTGTTTTCTTCACTGAACAAGTCATCTTGTCTGAATCAGGAGAGAAATATGCACAGATCAAGCATCATTTTTAAATTAAAGCACCTTAATGATGGATTTGTTTCTTAAAAACATGCAGCTTTTCACTTCACAAGATGTTAATTGATGGACTGGAGTCGTGTGGATTATTGTGATGTTTTTATCAGCTGTTTGGACTCTCATTCTGACGGCACCCATTCATTGTTTTAAATTTCCCCAAATCTGTTCCAATGAAGAAACAAACTACTAGGGTTGGGAATCGAAAATCAAATCCGATTCCTGAATCGGATACTTAAAGGGTTAGTTCACCCAAAAATGAAAATTCTGTCATTAATTACTCACCCTCATGTCGTTCTAAACCCGTAAGACCTTCGTTCATCTTCAGAACACAAATTAAGATATTTTTGATGGAATCTGAGAGCTGTCTGACCCTGCATAGACAGCAACACAACTGAAATGTTCCCAAGTCCAGAAACATAGCAAGGAGATCTGTAAAATAATCCATGTGACATCAGTGGTTCATACGCAATTATACGAAGCTACGAGAATACTTTTTGTGCGCAAAAAAAATAACGACTTCATTCAACAATTCGTTACAGGGTGTTGGAGGATACATATTGTTGAATAAAGTCGTTATTTTTTTTTTTTTTGGACATGAGGGTGAGTAATTAATGACAGAATTTTGGTGTTACCACCAACATGACAAAGGACTTTAATTTAATAGATCGTTACAGTTTGCGAACACAATTCAGACACCAACTTGATTCTATTCCTAAATAACAATGATTCGTCTGTTTCATTCCTCAACCTTTGACGTGTGCGATCAATGTTGTGATCACTTGTTGGTTCGTTCGTGCAGCGTACGATCACACCAGTGTGATTTGAACATTTAAATTTGCGTTCGCGCTGCCGTTGACCTAAAGAGAGCAGCTGTCTGTCATGAATGAAACAGCTTCACAGTCTTTTCAACCACACAGTATCATTATTTCTGTGTTACAAACATTCTAATCACAGAAGTACTGGGATAAAAGTTTATAGTTCAGATATAAACTCTGATGTGTACGGTAGCGATTAAAATAGAGTAAATCACCTTTTGAAAGTAATTTGACACTTCAAATGAAGATTTGTCGATCACATTGTTACGCCAGTAGGTGGCGAAAAGGGGCTGATAAAATGTATTTGTCTTTGAATCATACAAGAGATTCGTTCAAGAACTTAAAGAGTCCAGTTTTTATGTAGCCTGTTGATTTTTGTTCATGGTATTCAGCTCCAACTAAATGGTTTGCAAAAAAGA